CCCTGTGCCTCGTCCATGCAGTGGCGCGGTGCCTATGAGAAGAGGGGCCTAGTTTGCGTGCCCCCTCCTTCGTCTCATATCCGCGCGGCGCTCGCAGCTGCATATGGTCGGGTCCTTCGCCAGGCTAATTGACCACATGATATTGTTTTGCGTCGAATATATTGCCGTCTGCCCAAAACAACGTGCGCTGCCCAAAGCGATGAACGCCGCGCCTCCCAAAGTGCTTTGCGCTTTAGCCGTTTGAAGGCTTCGAGCAACCCGCCCGCAGGGGCATAGGTCTGCACCGCTCGAGCGGCAGCCGAAGCGACCGCGGCAGCGGGCACCATGGCTCACTTTCTTCTCCCCGAGAAGAACGAGGAGAATCCCCGGTTGGACCGTGAAGACGACGACCAAGGGTACGTGCGCAATGTGTGGAGAGTCTGCGCATGCCCGAGGAGTGATGAATGCGGGGCATCTGCGTGGAGCAAGGTGAACGCTTGGTCGTGCCAGAGTCGATCAGGTTCTGTGTTACGTCAAGCATCACTTGATGATTGGTATCCACCATGACCTGAGCGACGAATCGGCGGGCTTGATCCTGGACGAGGAGGTGGATCCAGAGATAGAGCTGGAGAGTTACAATGACAGGGAGGTATGCAAAAGGCAGCGTGAGAAGGCCAACCCTGCCCCAAGTCCGCCAAACTTCCACCCGCCGCCAAGAAGCAGGCCCCCAGGGCGTGCGGGGCAGCAGATCCCCAGGTCCCCACGTCGGCGCAGGCCAAGAAGCAGGGCCAGCGATCCCCCCCAAGGCGTTCGGGGCAGGGGCAAGGACAAGGGCAAGGGCAAAGGCAACGGCAAGGGCTACAAGGACAAGGACACTAACAGGGATCATGATGGGATGAACGATAAGACCCAGCGGCTGACCTCTGTGGTCGGTGAGATAGCCAGTCACGTCGAGACAATGAGAAACACCCCCGTTCCGAGCCTGCAGGTCGGCCGAGATGACGGGGCGCTGCAACCCATCATCGGTGCTCGGGGGCTGAGGGATGCTGCCAGGGTGGAGATGAACATGCTGCTTGAGCTGCGTGGAAGCATGGGCCGGGCGGCCGAAGCGTGTCAGCGCTGCCAGATGGCAGCCGAGGGGATCGCGAACACGTGTAGGGCCGAGTGCAATGTCGTTGCCGCTTCGAGAGACGTCGTTAACCGAACCGCGCAGCGTTTCGCGGAAGGTCTCTGATGCGACGCCCGCCACGGGGCCTCTGATGCGACGACCGCGCGGTAAGTGCTCGCGCACTTCTGCGGCAGCGCAGCGGCAGCGCAGCGACAGCTCAGCGACAGCTTGGACGCTAAACAAACGAAAGCGTGACCGCCCGATAACACTCCGACAACACTTCGATCGCACCCCGATAAAGCCCCGATAACACTCGATAGCAATGTTGTCGAGATGTTATCGATGTGTTATCGAGTGTTATTGAGTGTTACCGTGCTCGATAACACTTCGATAACGCCCCGATGACAATTCGATAACGTTGTTATCGAATTTTATCGAGCTCGATAACACTCGATAGCAATGTTATCGAGATGGCATCGGGTGTTATCGAGCGTAGTATCACTCCATAACACTCGGAAACACCTCGATAACATTTCGAAAACCTTGCTATCGAGCGTTATCGGGGTGGTATCGAGGTGCTATCGGGGTGTTATCGGGCGGCCGCGCGGGGTGTTATCGGGGTTTTATCGGGGTTCTATCGGGGCGGTGGAGGTGTTATCGGGGTGTTATCGGGCGGCCGGGCGGTCGGGCAGTTACAGTTGCCCTCGCCCATCCGACCCTCGCCATGTATATTGCAGCGCCCTTTTGCAGCGCAACGCGCTTGGGTGAGGTAGAATGCGGGGGAGATGGGCGGGGGCGGCAAGTGCTTGGAGGCGAGGAGAATGGGCGCCGCGCGCTTCTGGGTGACGACGACGGCGACGACGAACGGCGACGACGGCTGCGGTAGGTTTTTGCGCAATGCGCGCCGCAATGATCGCGACCAGCTGAGCCTCAAGGAAGCCTCGAGACACTTCCCAGACCAAGGTATGCCGCACTGGCAGTGAGGGCCCCACTATTCGGCTCCGAGTCCGCACTCAGGGGGGGGGGGGCAGTCTGACTGGCAACTGCCCCGACTCATTCCCCCATGAGTCCCAGCGAAATCCGCTTCGCCGCCGCCTGGGTCAGGCGCTCGAGAACTTGTGGCTTTCCGTGATGCTAGCCGCCCACAGTCATCGCCTTACTAAAATTGAACGGCAAATGAGCTCTCCCTACTCAGCTGCCGTCGCGTACCTTGGCCTTGGCCTTGGCCTTGGCCTTGCGCTGGCTCTGCTGGCTCTTGGCTGGCTTGCGCACGATCTTGCCCTTGCCCTTGACCTGCTCGCTGCCCTGCCCCCCATCGGGGTCGATAGCGGGGATTCCCGCCCTCTCGAATGCCATGCCCCGCCGCATTGCCAGATCGTTCTGCTCCTTGAGCGCCTTGCGCTTTGGCCCTGGTGTAGGTGGTTGCGTCCACTTCCACGTCTCCCCGACATGGCCGCCGCGCGCGTTCCACTCAAGGCCGACCGGCGCCCCCGGCCAACCATCGCCCGCGCACGTCGTTTTCCAACGCTTGTACTCGTGGAGTGTTTTCTGGTGGGTGGCACCCTTCATCTTCTCGTCGAGGCCCGCTTCCTTGCTGGTCGGGCTGCCGTTGGGCGCGGGCGTCGGGCCGTGCGTCGGGGGGGGGGGGGGGGGGCAAGCGTCGGGTCGCTTGGTGCGTCGTCGAGCCCAGACGGCTACGGACAATGACTAAGAACGGCGGGGGGGGGGGTCCAGGCCAATGCGCTTCTTTCTGATGGCGTGCATAAGTATAAGAACATGAGAATGATAGTACTGCTGCCCTCACCGCTTCACAGTCTGATGGTGGCCGCGCAGCGTCGCTGGCAATCGTTTTCACTTGTGATGGTGGCCGCGTAACGTCGCGAACCATCGCCATTTTTCTGCCCCCGCCATATGGGATCATCCTGGACGCCCATAGCAGCTACTTCGGGGATTTCGCGGGGATGGTTCCGTTCTCGAAGCATACAGGCGTGATGCATGAAAACCAGCGACTGCGAATACAGCGCAATGCGCTCTGAAGGCAGAACCAATGATAATACAGCGCAATGCGCTCTAAAGGCAGCGCAATGCGCTCTAAGAGTGCATATGTAGATGTGTCTTCGGTTGTTTTGTTTAGACGCGGCGAGGCGGTCTCAGGCCAATTGTCTGAGGGGGATCATTGGGCGCTCCTGCAGTCTTTTTTGGCCCAAGCCTGGTGATGCAGTGGGCTGCTGATCAGTTGGGGGGTCTGGCGCCAGCGGTGGTCGGGGCAGCGATAGGGCGACTCGCATCGGGCGGCTCCACCAGCTGCGCTTGCCACTTCGACTCGAGCCCCCAGGACGAGGGTTTGCTGGCCATCCTGCGTGCGCAGCTGGACCGCTGCGGGGACGACCACTTGCGCTGCCCGCCCGCGCCGCTGTGTGGGCCGTCGGTCGGTGGCCTGCTGGTCGCGGCGGGGCTGGGCCTGCTGGGCGTGGCGCGCACGCTGGGGCTGCAGACGGCGTTGACTGGCCGCGCGAGGATCGCGGTGGCACCGCCGACTGCCACCCAGCCGGTGGTGGGGGCCGCGGGGTTGACACCTACGACGCTCCGTCGCCTGCGTGATGGCGACCACGCTTGATGCAGATATCATCCAGATCCTTGTTGACCACCCGGACGACCCGCACATCGCATGGCACCATAGGCTGCTGCTGCTGCACGAGCTCGGGCCAGGGCGCTGGGTGAGCGCGACGCCCGACTTCTCGGTGCAGGTACTGGACCTGTCGGGCCATCGCGTGCTGCCGCTGGCTCGCTCGGCGCCGCGGCCGGTGCAGGTGCGCGGGAACGTGCGCTGCTTCCCGTCGGAGGTGCGGTGGATCGGCGCTGGCGCGTGGTGGACACAGGCCACGAGCAGTTCAACGAGGTGATCGCGGACGGGAGTATGATCGGCGACCGCGCCGTGGTGAAGGGCGACGTCGGGCTCTACTGCATCGACCAGGCGGCTGGCGAGTGGGCTTCGGTTCGGAGAGCGAAGGGCCGCGACCTGGACGACTGGCTAGAGCGCAAGCGGAGCGGTCCTGGACGAGATCTCCGCATACTGCCCGTGCGTCGCGATGCGGGGGGCAAGCGGGTGATGCTGCTTCTCTCGAGACGACGAACCTCGCCTCCGACCCGAAGTTCGCGGATTGGTCGTTCGAGAGGCCCTCGGCCGCCCGGCCGCCCGGGAGGTCATCGCGGGCGCGGCGGCGGCGGGGCTCGAGCTGCACCTCTACCCGCCGTGGTGGGAGAGCAAGAGCGGGGTGGACCCGCAGGGCAGTGTCGCGAGGGAGGTCAGGCTCGGCTTCGATAACCTGCGGATGATGCAGTCGTACGATCAGCTGAACCTGCAGGCGCTGGCGTCGGCGGAGCTTATCTGCCGCCGCCTCATCGTGCGCCAGCGGGCGGTTCGGGGGAACCCGAAGGCGCCGGACTTCACCGGGCTGGAGAAGTTCGCGCAGTCGAACTGCGACGAGTCGGGAGGACCCCGAACCACGGAGTTCGACAAGTACATGGCAGAGCTGCAGAAGACCAGCGCGACGGTGCTCAAGAGCCTCAGGCAGGACCTCGAGGAGCAGGAGAACGAGAGGAAGAGGCAGGCCGGCCGCGCGAGCGGCGGCAAGCCAGGCAAGGACTAAAGGGACTGGGGGGCGCGGCCGCGCTCCGATCGGCATCGCGGGGTCTGAGCACCGCGGCCGCGCCCCCGACCTCGAGGCCGGCGGCCTCGCATGACCGCGAAGTTTTGACGTCGCCTGGCCACGCGCTCCGTTTGCCGCTGCACGCGTTCGACTGCGTCAGAGGTGAGGGTGATCGGGCGGCTCTCTGCCGCCCCCCGACTCGAGCTGGAGACGAGCCTTCGGCGGCTGCGCTGGTCGCGGACGCGGTCACGGCCCTGAACAGCATGTCTGCCTCTCGCGTCGGTCGGCCGTTGCAGCTGCGGCGGCCGAGGCCTACCAAGCAAGTGGCCACGTCGGCTCAGCAGTCGATCTTGGACCGCGTCGCGGAACACGTGGACGACCAGTTTCCCGCCCCTCCAGATGCTGACTTCTCTAACGCGCTTCCGGACCTCCTGAGGTGCTCTGACATGTAATTACCTGACGAGCGACACCACCAGCCGGGTCCCGATCCAGCTGGGGCGACTCAAGATCCTGAAGAATGATGCGGTCCCTAAGGAGGTGCTTTGCGTCGTCGGCGCTGATGCTTACCGACTTCGGGCTGATCCCTGGCGGCGCATCGAACGGCGCCCCGAGCAGGCGGAGGCGGACAGGGCCTCCGCCGCGGCCCTACACTGACCCGCGCCTCCGACAGAGCCGCAAGCTGCTGAAGGAGCTGGTCATAACACTTCACCGCGGTAACCTCGTGGTGTACCGGCGCTCGGTGAAGGCCTTCATCGGGCTCTTGACGGTGATCAAGAAGGACGGCTGGTGGCAGCGGCTCATCGTGGACGCCCGCGTTCCCAACCATTGGCACAGGCGGCCGCCGCAATCCTACCTGGCGACCCCCGGCGACGCGTCCGCCCTGGACCTCAGCGACGAGGCCTTGGAACCGGGAGCGGCCTCTTCTCTGGAGTTGTGTGGGGCCGCGGTCGACCTCCAGGACGGTTTCTACCAGCTGTGGTTCAAGGTGATGAGCGACTGGTTCGGCATCGATTGCTGCATGACCGCGGCGGAGGCAGGCGTCTCCGAGGTGTTTGACGTCGTCGACGGGAAGGGCGCTCGTGTGTCGGTCGCGGCGGAGGAAGCTGCGTGGCCCTGCTTCTGCGGCGTGCCCATGGGCTTGACGTGGGCCTTGTTCATCTGCCACTCCGCGCTCACCGACGCGATGGTGGAGTCGTTCGTCCGCGTGATGCGCTGCGACCGGGCGCTGGCGGAGGCTCAACTGCTCCGCGACGGGCGGCCTGCGCCTCGGCTGGCCAAAGGTAAGCCCATCGCCGCGCCGTGCGTAGACAACGGCAACCTGCTCTGCTTCGACCGCGAGGATGCTGGCATCTCCTACGAGTCCATGGTCGCCGCGCTGAGCGAGCGTGGCGTCACCCTGCGGGACAACGTTGAGTGCGACCCGAACCTGGACATGGTGGGCTTCGAACTCCAGGGCGCTATGTTCTCCCGGCGACAGCAGCGGTCGCGGTTCTGGCGGCTGCGGCATGCGCTGCGGCAGCTGAAATTACGGCCCGGCTGCGCAGGTGAAGTGATGCACATAGTATTGGTTCACCTGGTGAACTTCTTCATGCTGGCGCGGCTGGCCCTGAGCGTCCTCGCGAAGCTGTGCGTGTTCAGCTCTGAGAACTTTGGCCGCCTCCGTCGGTTCGACAGTCGCGCACGAGGAGAACTGGTCACGTGCCGTCGCCTACTTGTTCTTGTTCGGAGTCGGCTTCGACCTCACCACTACACCACGGCCTTCTGTTCGGACGCCTCGACGGGCGGCTATGCGATCCACCTGGGCGACTTCGAGGGGCGCGAGCTGCGCGATGTCTGCCGGCGGCGAGAGCGCTGGCGCTTCGCCGACGCCGAGGGGGAGGGGCCGGGTCTCGCTGGTGCTCGATCCGGGCTGGCTGCCGACTTCCGCGTAGGCGCCGACCTGGAGGTGGGGGGCAGCGGCCGGCCTGGCGCGAACGCTGGCGATCGCCCTACCCGCCGCGCGGCTCGGGTGAGCAACCTGGCGCCCGCCGAGGCGATGAAGGCGGTCGAGGCGGGGCTGAGGCGCTGCGCGGCGGTCGCCTAGCCGCGCGCCTGGGTCGGCTCCGCAGCGCGGCGCTTCCCAGCGGTGGTCCCGTGGCGTCCCCGGAGCGAAAGTTTCGAGCGAAACGTGACCGAGATTATCTAATCTCGGTTACGAATGGCGCAGGACATCCCGCGAATTATGCGGGGGACGAGCGCGGCCCTGGGCGCCCTGCCGCGCTGCCCGCACCCGGCCCGCGGGGGGCTCGGACCAGCCGCGGCCGTGCTGGCGTGCTGGAGGTCTTCAGCGGGTGCTCGAGGCCCTCTGGCGCGTGCTTGGCGGCTGCGCTGCGCATCCTGTGTCCAGTGGACGCGTCAGCGGGGCCGCAGTTCAATTGTCTCGATGTCGGTGCGCAGCAAAAGATCGGTGGGTTGTTCGAGGGCATGTTAGTCACGTCCACCTTGCTCCTCCTTGCGCATGATGGAGCGTCGCGAAGAACGCGGGTTCCAAGGGCTCGGGGGGCTCTCGGGCGGGTCTAGGGTGTGCTGACTTCACCGTGAAGGTTCTCAAGGCGTGCCACATGTCTGGGGCGTCGGTATCGCTTGAAAACCTAGCGTCCTCGAGGCTCCTGAAGTACCCGCCCCTGGTCAGCATGTTCAAGAAGATGAAGTACGAGTCCATCGGGCACCACGGTTGCCGCTGCGGGCCCCCCCAAAGGGAGCCCACCGTCTTCGTCACAAACCCCCCTGAGCGGAAAATCATCGAGAGAAAGTGCATGTGCCTGGTCCCCCACGAGCTCCTCGAAGGCAAAGTGAAGGTCCCGGACGGGGCCGGCAAGTACGTCTGGAAATGGAAGACTTCCCTGACAGCAGCTTATCCTCCAGGTCTGTGTCGGGTCGCCGCGGCGGAACTCAAGAGGGCCCTTGGTCGGACCGCGCTTCGGCGAGATGGCGGGCCGTTGCTCGACCCCCGCTGGGAGCGCGAGCTGGCCGCCGCCGCGCGGGCCGCGCAGCCGAAGCCGCTCGCGGCCCCTACCTGTCCGCGGCGGTTTGCTATTGGATGGGGGCGCGCTGCCGGCCACCAGCTCTGCGGTGACAGCGCGGAGCGGCGGCGCCCCGCCCTCCGCTCGCTGGGCTGGGCGGCTGGCAGGCCAGGCGAGCTTTCCAGGCGGCGGGGGGCCTCCGCTGGGACTTCTGGCGCAGGACGGCGTCGACAGCAGCCCATCCTCCAGCGCTCGGCAACGTCGGAGTTCACGCCGACAGGCGGTCGCCAAGAAGGTAGCCGCCGCGCCAGGGCAGGAGGGCTACTTGAAGCAGAGGTCCGTGGGGCCAGCGACCCTGCGCGTCTACCAGCGCGAGTATGACGACCTGACGGCGTGGTGGAAGTCGCAGCACCTGGCGATCGGGGCCCCCGAGGCGCGCGACAAAGCTCTCGAGAGCTATCTCGACAAGCTCTACTTCGACGGGGAGCCCTCGTCCCGCGCCAACAACGCCATCCGCGCGCTGATGTTCCACATCGACGAGGTCTGGGCGAAGTCGCCGCACTGCCCTCGGACCCGGCGTGCCCTGCGTGGCTTCCGCAGAGCCTCGCAGATCAGATCGCGGGATGGCTGCCCCTGGGAGGCTGCCTCGGCACTGGCCCGCTGGATGGGCGAGCAGCGCAGCTTGGTGATGGTGAACTCGGCGGCGCTGACGCTTGTGCTGTTCGACGGCTACCTGCGGGCCTCGGAGGGCCTCGGACTGGGGCGGGACCAGCTCATCCAGTCACAAGGCGCTCGAGGCGGACGCCGCTGCTGGGCGGCGATGATCTGCCCGGAGGAGGAGGGTCGGCCGACCAAGAGCGGCGACTTCGACGACGCGGTCATCTTCGGCGAGACCTCCGAGGTCAGGCGGCCGCTCCTGTCGAAGGTGCTCCCCGTTCGCTATCGGACGACCGCCGTCGGAGAGCTGGTGTTCGCTGGCCTGACGCTCGCGGGGTACGAGCGCATCTTCCGGCGTGGCGTGGAGGAGCTGAAGCTCGGCTGCCTCCAGCTCGCCCCGCACTGCCAGCGGCGCGGAGGCGCTTCCACCGATGGCCTGGACGACCTCCCGATCGCGCAGATTCAAAGGAGAGGGCGATGGAGGAGTCTGGCGAGCTGCAAGCGGCACGAGAAATTGGGTAGGCTTCTCAAGCAGCTCGAGCGCCTGAAGTCGACCCCAGGGATTGATGGTGATACCAGCTTGCAGCGGCTTCTCTCGCGCTTCCCACGTATCCTTCAGAACATCCGTGCGATGGAATCGCAGTGCCCAACCCGCCCACCCTGAAGGCCATTGGACACGCGAGTTATGGGAGAGCGCGGTGGTGCCGGCACGACAGCTTGTTTCCTGAGCATGAGTTGCTACCTACTGCTTCTCGGAGCCTTGTCGAGGTCGGCCGGAGAAAAAGTGGCATGATCAGCATATTGGCACTTCTCCTTTTTGTCTAGATCCGAGCGTTCCGCGCCTCGCCGCCGTTAATTGAGCCGTTGAACATATTTGTCTCCGACTGTTTTGTTTAGATGCGGCCAGGCTGTCTCAGGCCAATTGTCCGAGGGGGATCATTGGGCGCTCCTGCAGTCTCTTTTGGTCCCCCGCCATCCCTCCCATGTATTCTATTATCTGGGAGAGCGCGGTGGTGCCGGCACGACAGCTTGTTTTTTGATCATGAGTTGCTATTTACTGTGTCTCGGAGCCTTGTCGAGGTCGGCCAGGGAAAAAGTGAGATGATCTGCATGTTGGCACTGCTCCTCTTTGTCTAGATCCGAGCGCTCCGCGCCTCGCCGCCGTCGAGCTGTTGAACATCTTCGGATAGAGCGCAATGCGCTCAGTGAGGGTGAGCGCAATGCGCTGTCGCTGCAGCCGTTTCGGTTCAACGGCCGCTACTGGCGGCTTTGGGATAGCGCAGCGCGCTCTCAGCTGCTGCGACAGGATGTCACAGCTGCTGCCCTCAGGCACTGCGCCCATGGAGTTTGGCACGGGGTCGAACGCGGGGGGCTCTTTGCTGCAGAAAGTTTGGGAAGCACGCGCGGCCGAGCGGTGGGCGCCGCCTTCGGATTCTTGCCCCGACTGCTCCGAGTCCGAGCATTTGGAGATCTGTTCAACGGAGGCGTTCAAATTTGGCCATGTGCAGTTCAACCGCACGATCAGCATTTCATTCGTCGGGGAGCCTTTGAGACAAAATTGTGGTGAGCCGTGGAAGCCGGCGACGAAGACCTACATGTACATGCGCGTGATGCGCAGGCAGAAGTTTGATCCCGTGGAGTCGCCGAAGAAGCGGGCGGAGCTCAATGACGATTTACTCATGAACGGTTGCCAGTGCAAGTTGTTCTACGACAGCGAGCCCATTGGCTGTAGCGTGTTCTCGATGCTCGGCGGTCAATCCAGCCAACCTGATGCGCGCGCAATGTGCAGTCGGTTCGGATACGCAGTATTCAGTCACACAAAGTTGGGCTATTGCCCAGAGAAGGCCCGAGGCCTACTGGGCTGACACTCTACTGGCCTAGAGGAAGCCCGCGGCGATCTCAGGGCACGGCCCGCGCGGGTTGGCAGCGCGATTTACACGGCGCTTTCGTCGCTCGAAAAATGCCCCCCCGTGAGAACGCAGCGCAATGCGCTCTAAAGGCAGCGCAATGCGCTCTAAGCGTCTGCATGTATATTAGGAGACAGCACAACGCGCTCAGCGAGGGTGAGCGCAATGCGCTGTTGCTGCAGCCGTTTCGGCTCAACGGCCGCTACTGGCGGCTTTGGGGTAGCGCAGCGCGCTCTCAGCAATGGCAGACAATATCTGCGCCATCTGCCAGGCGGGCTTCGGGGGCGTCACCGACGAGAGCATCTATCTTGGATGCACTCACAAGTTCCGCAAGTACTGCGTCGAGAAATACCAGGAGGCCGGGAACTTCGCGACGCTCGAGGAGGTACAGTGCCCGCAGCGCAAGCTACACGCCCACGACTTGCGACAGAGGGAGCGGGGGGTTCTTGGCGGCCCCGCGCTGGACTGCTTGTCATCAGGCGAGGGGGCAACTGCTCGGCCCAGTGCGTCTGAAGGCACCGCGGAGCCCGCTGGGCCCGCGGAGCCCGCGGGGCCTGAAGATGCAGGCGACCGCGTATATCACTAAGTTCGAGGTGACCGCAGAGTACTTCGAGAACGGTGGCACGTTTGAGCCGCGGGGCTATTGGGGGCAGCAGGGCTACGACGCGGATGCCATCCTGGCGAAATCAAGGAAGTCTGATAAGCAGCACCACGTCGCCCTCGGACTGGCCACAGGATTCGCCCGGCGACCGCAGGCGAGCGCGGGCAAAGAGGGCAGGATGAGGAATCCTGCACCCAGGGGCGACTGGTCGGTCGGGCAAAGAGGCTCAAGCCGCTTGCTTATATTCCCGAACAGCCAGAAGAGCCAGAAGAGCCAGCAGCGTCAGAAGAGCCTGAGCAGAAGGACGAGAAGAGCGAAGAATTTTCGAGCTCGAGCTCTTCCTCATCAGATTCGGACCAGAAAAGTAAGACGGCCAAGAAGAAGAAGTCGAATACGAAGAAAGCAAAGAAGGAAGCGAATAAGAAGGCCAAAAGGGATAAGGCGAAAACGGAAAGAGCTCCAGACAAGGACGACATCATGTGAGAAACTCTTACGCCAAGCTGGACCCAGCGCTGAAGTCGCTGCAGGAAGTGCTCGCGCACCCTGCGAGCAGGAGGCTGGCTCAGTGGCTCGAAAGTCAAGCCGAAGACAAGAAGAGCGAGATCGAGGCCATACAGATCAAGGCGCCAAGGGCGAAGATGTCGCTGGAGGGCGACCTGCCTGAGCTCAAGGACCTAGGCGCAAGTGCAATCATCACCCCTGCACCCCCCCTACCCCTCCCCCCCTTCCTACCCTAGAGGAGAGGATGAGGGGGGGGGGGGGGGGGGGGGGGGGCAGGATGCATCAGGATGGGATGGGGTTGGCGCTCCAACCGGGGATGCTGTGAGCCTTGGGAACCAAACAAGAAAGCACGTGGCCCTCCTGAACGCGCAGTTCAGACAGCTGCAGCAGTAAACCATTTGATGCAGCCAGGCAA